TTTTAAAGCAAGTTAGAGTTTTCATGCTAAAAATTTGTTATGATAATGAATGTATCTTTGTACAGTTCTTTTCCGTGAGAAAGAAGAGAAAGATTGGGTCACCTGCTTTAAAATCATCTGGGAGACAAGAAAAAGAAGCCAGAAAGCAAAATGAAGGATCACCTACTGCGAAAGGTTCTTTGGAAAGCTACCTCGAGGCTTCAAAGGATGGTAATTCTCATGCCAAATCACTGAACGCAACTTGTGATCAGAAGACTAGGCAGGTTCCTGTCAAGAGAAATTTGACTTTGGAAAGCGGGTTACCATCAAAAGATGAAAAAGGGAAGCAGCAAAGTTCTGAAGCTTCTGGAGTTCATCATATATCACAACATGAACCATTGTGTGATATTCAGAAGGATTCTTCCATAGCTGGTTCAGTTGAGCCGGATTCTGACCTTAAGGATTTTGCTACTGGCTTCTTATCATTATATTGCAGGTATAACTTTTCTTCTCTATTTTACACATTGGTGGGGCTAGAGTTGTTTAACTCCCCTCATTTGCTGGACTGTTTATGGGTGTCTCAGTTTATATTTTGAAGGTATCATTGTCCTCATTGATGAATGAACATTGCCTCATGTGCAGCGAGCTAAAGAGCAGTGCAACTTTGCCATCAGAAACAAAGGAAGTTATGAATAAAACATATAGTACCTCGTCTGTGCTTCAGCTAGAGGGGAAAGCACCCAAAGGACGGTGTTGTTCGGATGATGGATATCAGTCAAACATTCCGAGTGCATCCATTTCCTCTCCCAAAGTCATCCATTCTAAAATGGTCGACGAGTCTCTGTATATTGATTCTAATTGTCTGCAAAAGGTAATAATACACTAAAATACTTGGATACTTCTTACAAGACACGTCTCTGAAAGTAGGTCATGTGTGTTGACAGGTTACGATGGGCAACAATCATACTGAAACACTAGCCGGTTTGAGAAAATGCAGCTATGCATCTAATCTATGTGCAGCTGAATCCAAAACACCTGGTGCTTTCTCTATTAAACTTGGAGCTCGAGAAACTCCTCAGTCAACAAGGGGAAGCTCCTCGTTTTCTCCTGGGGATACATTTTGGAATGAAGCAATTCTAGTTGCTGATGGTTTATTAGGTGAAAATGGTGGTTTTGCATCTCGTATTGAAAATCATAAAGCCATGAAGGTTGATTACGATAGTAACTGTTCAAATAATGTAAATAAGGAAGGTAAATCCAATCTGTTTAGCAGTTCTCTGGATGGTGTTAATAATACAGTTTGTGGTGTTGACAAAAATTTGGAGAAAGAAGTGTCACCATTACCTGTGAAGCATTTTGACTTCAGTCTTGAGACAAAATTTTCTGACATGGGGACATCAGCTTATGTTAATAATATTAATCCTGTCATTTTGTCGAGGACTGATAATACTCAGAATTTTAGTTGCATGGAAAGGTGTCCCAAAGATCAAATAGCTGAAGTTCCTTTGATTGCTCAAGAAACAATCCATGGACATGCAAATATATTAAGAAATGAGGATCATCTTAATCAAAGTAGCCACCATCTTACAACTAATACACCGGACAGAGCTTATGGTCAGATTGCTGCAAATCACAAATCTAAAAGCAATGACACTCCTGCAAGTTCTTCAGTCAAAGATTGTTTGCAACTCACTACTTGGCTTCCTCTTGAAATATGCAAAATATACAACAAAAAGGGAATATCGAAACTGTATCCTTGGCAGGTATCCCTTTCACCTTCTACATTAAATTTTTCAAGCTTAGAGCTTGGGAGTTTTTACTCTTGGAGGATTATTTGACCTATAATGAAATGGTAGTTTGATGGAAGTACTATGGTATATCATGCATCAGTGCTTATTGCGAAATTGTAGTTTATGCCTTGTGGAATTGTGTGTATGAATTCTTTTCATATCTAATCATTATTTTTTCCCAATTTGCAGGTTGAATGCCTTCAGGTGGAAGGTGTCTTGCATACACGAAATCTAGTTTACTGTGCATCTACGAGGTAATTTAAACTGTAACTTAAAATTTAGGTAAATCATCACATTCTCCTTTCCTCATCTGAGTTTTGCATTTATTGTTTGTTAAGCATGTCAACTCATTATATTTTTACTACATTTTGCAATTGATGCTTTGAAGATTTCCTTTCATAATTCATGTGGTTATTTTTGTTGACGGTTAAACAAATATACGTTGGTAGATTCACATTTACATAAGCAAAGCATTTGGAATTAATGTTAAATATGGAACAAAATTTGTTTCAAGATTCCCACCATAAGCCTAAGAGTAATCGTCTTTGAGAAATATGGGTCATGATATTGAGATGCTTCTCAATCCAGATTGGAAGTGGTCAAGGTAGCAGGTTTGGTCTTGAAGCAGTAATTTTTTGAGTAAAGATAAATAATTTCCTGTAGTATTTATAATTTTTAATTTATTTTTAATATTCGGCATGACAGACTTTATACTTTCAGATATTTTGTAGTTCTAAAATCTCTTTCTTTGTTTGTCATAGTGCTGGTAAAAGTTTTGTTGCTGAAATATTGATGCTGAGGAGGATTTTAGCTACTGGGAAAATTGCACTTCTTGTACTTCCATATGTATCTATCTGTGCCGAAAAGGTGCGATATTCTTTGACTAGAGAGGATAGTTTGACACCATTTGGCTCTTGGCTCATGTCTGTCTTATGCTTCAATCTCTGTTTGGTAAAATGCAGGCAGAACACCTCGAAGTTCTGTTAGAACCTGTCGGCAAGCATGTACGTAGTTTTTATGGGAATCAAGGTGGTGGCACTCTTCCCAAAGACACATCAGTGGCTGTCTGTACCATTGAAAAAGCAAATTCTTTGATAAACAGGCTACTTGAAGAGGGATGTTTGTCCGAACTTGGAACCATTGTAATTGATGAATTGCACATGGTACACAACTTGCTACACATTTTTCTTGGGAGGTTTAGTCGTTGTAGTTTTACCGGTTTTTCATACTTGTATATGGAATGGTTTTATGTATGATGGCAGGTTGGTGATCAGAGTAGGGGTTATCTTTTGGAACTCATGTTGACAAAGCTTCGTTATGCAGCTGGTGAAGGCAATGTTGACTCTCCTGGTGGAGAAAGTTCAGGGACGAGTAGTGGGAGATCTGATCCTGCTCGTGGTCTCCAAATTATTGGCATGAGTGCAACGCTACCAAATGTTGCTGCAGTTGCTGACTGGCTTCAAGTAAGTTTTTATGATTATTGAATTTGTTGTGAGGTTGCTGAAGATGTGGCATGTTTGTTTGATTTAGCTGTTCCGGATATCTATTTTAATTTTCCTTTTTTCTCTTTTTATGGAGGATATAAAAAATGTCATGATGTAATGTAAAAATATTGCATCTAATATAGAAATTTTGTCTAATGAAATTTCGTGTATTTGCTGGCCAAAATTCATATCACTATATTAGCAAATACTGAACCTGTTAGTCCAGATATGGGTTTTATTGACGTTCTATTTGGATACTTGCATTGTAATTCACATTTTTGGGAGTTTTGTGCAAATAACATGATTTAGTCTTGCCTTCCGATCATCCTTGAATGCCCGACTTATGTTTCAGTTAGTTTATGCTATCATACATTATATGATACTTGTGGTTTAATTTATTTCTGTAGGCAGCTCTTTATGAGACTAATTTTCGCCCCGTTCCGTTGGAGGAATATATCAAACTTGGTAGCACAATTTACAACAAAGAAATGGAAATCGTGAGGACAATCCCTAAAGCAGCTGACCTTGGTGGTAAAGATCCAGATCATATAGTTGAACTCTGCAATGAGGTCCGATCTTCTCTTTTTCTCATTGACTGTTCTTATGCTATTCGATCAAATACTTATAGTTTGGATTACATTAGGTTGTCCAAGAAGGCCACTCTGTTCTGATATTCTGTTCCAGTCGGAAAGGGTGTGAATCGACTGCTAAGCATATTGCAAAGTATCTCAAGAGATTTTCTGTTAGCCCTCGAAATGAGAAAGGTGACTCCTTTGATGTTGTTTTTGCCATTGATTCATTGCGAAGGTCCCCTGCTGGTTTGGACCCTATACTAGAAGAGACTCTTCCTTCTGGAGTTGCCTACCATCATGCTGGGCTCACAGTAGGCATCTAACTGGGTTATTCATTGTTCTGTAGTTTGAATTGAATTTTCAGCTTATTCTTTACTTGTTCTATCCAATTCTTACACAGTATTCTGTTTTTTCGAAAGGTCGAGGAGCGGGAGACTGTTGAAACATGTTACCGCAAGGGACTTGTGCGTGTCTTGACTGCTACATCAACCCTGGCTGCTGGGGTTAATCTGCCTGCAAGGAGAGTGATCTTCAGACAACCACGCATTGGTCGTGAATTTATAGACGGGACAAGATACAAACAGATGGCTGGACGGGCTGGTAGAACTGGCATAGACACCAAGGGAGAGAGTGTAAGCATGGGTTTTTATATTTGTACTGTTATTCTTTGCATAATTATGACTAAAAAGTAAAAAAATAGGCACTATATTACTAATTGCCGATAAAGTCAATCCTTCTTCTTTATTAAGTAAATGAAATTCATCACTGATGATTCTATTTTCAAATGATCACAACAGGTGATGATTTGTAGGCCAGAGGAAGCCAAGAAAATACTGGCGCTTCTAACTGACAGTTGTCCTCCATTACATTCTTGCTTGTCAGAAGATAGGAATGGTATGACCCATGCAATACTCGAGGTAGTTGCTGGAGGAATTGTTCAAACAGCTACTGATATTCATCGATATGTGAGATGTACCCTTCTGAATTCTACAAAACCCTTTGAAGATGTTGTGCGGTCAGCTCAAGATTCGCTGAAATGGTTATGTCATAATAAGTTCCTAGAATGGAGTGAAACAACTAAGTTATATACCTCTACTCCCCTTGGTCGTGCGTCTTTCGGCAGTTCTCTGTGTCCAGAGGAATCACTTGTAAACTATCTCACCCTTCCTCCTTTTCATATAACACACTGTACTTAGTATTTTCTATCAATAAGTTGTTGAACACTTACTTTGAGCCAGTCACTGTACGTATACTTACACACACACATTTATATACATACACATCTCTACATTTATAAAATTTTCTTACATTTCACTGCTGAGGACTTGGGTAACCATTTGAACTTTGAATGTGTGTAGATTGTGCTGGATGATCTCATAAGGGCAAGAGAAGGTTTTGTCTTAGCTTCAGATTTGCATTTGGTGTATTTGGTAACTCCAATTAATGTTGATGTGGAACCAGACTGGGAATTATATTATGAGAGATACATGCAGTTATCTACTCTAGACCAGGTCTCTTCTTGTCTTTTTTTTTTTTTTTTTCNATTTTTTTTTTTTTTTTTTCTTAATTATGTTCCTTCCTGAAATTAGATACTCATTGAATGCTTGTGAAAAGTGTAGGAAATTTCAGTGCTCTGCTTTATACACATCAATCATTGCATTTTCCCATATTTACCAAGTTTACTCTCTTGAGAATTTGTTCAATCACACATATGCTACTTATTTGATTAATTCATGGTAATACCTGTTAATAGTCCACTTATTTATCATAATCTTCTTATTTAACTTAAAAAAAGGCGACATTTCTTATTTTCTTCAGTTGGATGCCAATTATTAATGAAGATTTTTTTCTTTTACTTTTCTTTCTTTCAGTTGGGAATATACTGGGTATGTTGTTGTTGTTGTTGTTCTTTCTTTCTTTTCCCTTCATATATACCATGCAAATTTTGTCAAAAGTATGCGGTTCTCATAGTTGAAATTTATGACTTCTGCAAAGGTTATGGCTTCTCATAGTTGAAAAGCCTTATGTTCTCAAATGTGGAACCCTGAGAGTAATAGCAGCACAACTTGGAATGTGCTTGTTGTTCTTGGCTCAAGTTTTGAAATTCAATAGTTAGGAGTTAGAACAAAAAAAACCAGTGTTGAAGAGGATTGTCATTTTTCTTTAGAGTCATCTGATTGGAGATACCTTGAATGAAGCAAAAGATGAATTATATGTGATTTTGTTGTGGTAACTGTCGTGAGTGCAGTCTGTTGGCAATCGAGTTGGAGTGCAAGAACCCTTTCTGATGCGGATGGCCCATGGTGCCCCTCTGCGAGGTTTGCGCAGATCAAGGGATAATGTCAAAGCCTTTCAGGGGAAACAAGATCACCGACATGGTACATCAACCCATGGCATGCTATCAGATGAACAAATGCTTAGAGTTTGTAAACGGTTCTATGTTGCTCTTATCTTGTCACGACTTGTGCAGGTAAAAGTTTCATGTCCTAACAATGTCCATCTCCCTCACACCAAAAGAGGGAAG